ACTCACAAAACCCACGGGCCTTTGGAAGCAGTTCTAGCATCTTTGTTTGCAGCACGTGCTTTGATCTGGTTGCGAACGAGACACTGGACAATACAAGCTCAGAGGATTCTCCGCCTTTTTCCTCCTGTCGTCCGTGCAGCCTTCGAATTTGGAGGTTTACCTTTGGCACCTAACCGGGTTGAGGCACTTCGGTTCGTCATTGGTTTGCAAAAGGTGTTGATCCATGGTTGTCCAGAATTGTTTGGCTTGTACCAATGGTGGTCTGACGCCTACAGGTATACCGGTATTGGGCAATTGTCTCGTCCTAGTTGCCCTCGTCAAGGGGGACTTTCCAAGCGCTTTTTGGAGCACCTTTTTGCCTCCTTGCGACCATCTTCGGCGGAAGGCGGAAAATTCCGGTACCGCTTGGCAAGGCGCACGTCTCTGACATCATGTTTTTTCTTGGTGATTGCTACAGGTCCTGAGCAGCAGATCCGGGCCATGGAGGCTTTTGACATCCGGGCCCACAGACCTTCCAGCAACTGTGCGCCCAAGTCTTTCTACAGCCTGTCTGCTGCCAAGTCCAAAAGATTACGGCCACCAAGAATGCTGCGAGACTCCGATAGTCGGCCTGACATTACCAGGTCCATCGCTATACATGACAACTATTGTGCTCGGTTTCAAAAGGCAGGCACTTTGCACAATGGCCAAGAGATACCTGAGTTTGTCCCGTGGAGCTATTCTTTCAAGGATGCATACAGGTTGCTGCAACAAAGAACTTTGGCTGTATCTGGGCAATACGGTCCTATCAATATTTATGCACCTGACATGCGTGCACTTTTCCTGCTGTTTTTAGTGTCTCGCAAACCGAGTTTCAAGTGGAAGGATGCTGAGGCTTTCGACAAGGATGCTGCCTTACATTGTGCCTTAAGCATAAAGAAACTCCAGAAAGGTCATCAACGCCGAGCTGCTCGACGTGTCCTAGACATCTGGTTGCGAGCCCGAGGTTGGTGGACAACTGCTTTCGTGCATGTCCACGTGCCGCAAAAGAGCTTTATACCTATGATGCGAAGATACATACACAGTGCTGTTGCTCACCACTCCAACGGGAATGCTCTCCACGCCGCATGGATCAGATCCCGCTTCCAGCTGGTCCTCGGTCGTGGGCCTTTGTTCAGTGACAAGTGGAACCATGCTCAGACTGCCCAAAGAACGAAGCTCTGCATTCCATGTCCTGTGCCGCAATTGGTTTCCTCAAGCATGATGTGTGTAGAGCGCAACTGGCGTGTAGAAGAGCGCTTGGCCTCTGACCAAGAGCTTGAGCTGTGCATGCAACAGGTGGATGCAGTTCTGCCGGAAAGCAAGCATGTTGCTCGTTCTGCTCGTGGTGTGTCTTCTTCACTGGGTCTCAGACGCCGTCAGCAATCCAGGCGGGACACTCAATGCCAGTACGATGAGTACACGCGACCTTTCAAGGAGCATGGTGTGCCAGACCCTGCCATCGTGCCAGATGATAAGGGCAAAAAGTTTGCCTGGGTGATGCCAAGATCTGCGTACAGTCTCCTTCTAGCAAGCTTTGCTTTAGCGGCTTCCTCTTGGAGTCTGACACATATGACGGAAGACTTGGCAAATGCATGGACTCTTTCCATGCTCTTCAGAGTACTTGGCGTCCCTTTGGCCTCAAAGCTGGGACTCAACGCGGCGTCGAGTGTATTGCCTTACACTTATGTCACCATCAAGAGCAAATGTTGGCACAATGGTATCAGGCTATGCACAAAACCGGGTCATTCCTGCGTGAGAAAAATCGTTTCGTATGCAAGGTGGCCTCGCCGCCCGCTTTGGCGGTCTTTGCACCGGGCCTGGGAGTCAATACTGAAACACTTTGGTGACACTTGTGACGCCTGGTCCCTAGACGATGCGGCTCGGAAGCTCCAGCAGCTGCACCGTTTACCACAGAACCCAGGAGGTGACTGTCCTACTTGTTGCCGTTGTTTCCGGGCCATGGGCCGGCTTGAGGGCATCACAGGGGATGCTGGCCAATTTTTCGAGATGGTTGATGCTTGCACAGCAATACAAGAAGCCACAGAGCTGCTCACCATCTTCACTTCTCAGTGCCCTCAACAGTTTGTGACGGTGAAGCGCCCTAGCAAGAAGCGCCAAGTCTGGTTCAGTTCTGCCGCGAACAGGTTTAGCCCAAAAACCGTAGTATGGACAATTCAAGAGCTGTTCAGGGGTTTTGCAGCGTCTATGCTGTGCTGTTTGGCCACGGTCGGAGACAAGGTGTTTGCGCTACGATGCTTGCCTATTGGTGGTTTGATGAGCAAGGTGGCCTCCAGCGTGGTCTTGGGTGGCCAAGAACGCCGCTTCAAACAAAACGTGGATTCGCAAGTCCAAGAGGGGTTTCGGTACGGGCATGGATGGAGTCACTCTGTGCTTCATGTTCGGTACATAGATGATATCCTTCTCGCAAGTACAATCTACTGTCGTCGTTGCCTATCCTTTGCAACGACGCGTATTTACACGGTCCCTTTCGACATTTCAGAAGGTTCGTCAAACACCTTAGTCTGGTTGGATATGAAGCTTTTTCTGGACAGTGGTTCGTTGGGCCTTCATACCAAGCCTTTGTGCCCTGCTCCACCCTGGCATGCTGGTGTACCATACCTACGAAGTTTGTTTCTGGGAAGGCTTCGTCGGTGGTCTGTCATTCGTCCTGTAGATTCAGAATGGAGAAGAGCTTGCTTTATTTTGCTACAGGATTTGAAGGACTGCAGCTGGAGCTACAGACGAGTGAGTTTTGTGCTGCGCAGTATTTATGCACAAGAGTATCGCTTTTTCGTAGGTTTTTGCTTGCATGCCTGGAGGACCATGCGCTCCGTCAACTAGAGAGTAGTCCACAGCATGGGACACCGGACCAGCGAAAGATGTCTCCCTGAAGTGTTTTGGGCTCTTCAGCTTTTCGGGTTTCGTGGCCTTGTTGCTCCCAGATGTGGCGCTTTCTAGCATGGTTCCTGCTGGCTTCTAATGTCAGTATGGGCTCTGCAGGATGGTCGTCCCGTGGAAAAGGGTCCAACAAGGGCGATCAGTCTTGGAAGTCTTCAGGTTGGTCCTACAACTCTGGCAGTGGAAAGGGTCAATACTCGTGGCATGGCTCCAACAGCTCTGCGAACGAAGCTCTGGCTCTGCACCTGCTGGAAAGGCTCGGCCGTTCAGAATCTTCCTCTGACCGCGATCGTAGCCGCCATAACAGCAGACGACGCCGCAGCTCCAGCAGATCAAAGTCTCGCAAGTCTGGCAGCCGTGATCACGAACTTCGAGAGCTCCGAGCGTACAGGGAGCATCATGAGGCCATAGAGCGGGCCAGGGCTGACAAAGAAGCCAAAGAAGCAGAGAAAAAACTTCGAGCTGAGGAGTTTGCAGAACTGGAAGCACGCATTCTGAGGGCCATTCCTACCCCGCAACAGCCTCCGGCTGGGAATGTTCCTGCTGCAAGCAATCTTCCTGCAGACGCCATTTCTGCTAAAACGAAGAAGCTCGTAGAAGCCCTTCTCGAAGATGAGGTCTCTTGCGCTGGCATTCATACGTGGGAAGAGGTTGACCGTAAGGTTTCTAATTTGCCGAGTAACCTGCTTAAATCGCTTCACAAAAACAGAATGCCAGAAGCCTCTGTTCCCCGAACGTCGGCTGCAAGGGCTGCAGCTATTATCGCTTTTTTGAAGAGGCAGGCTAAAGCTTGAGAGCTGCCAGAGACTGACATTGCGCTTCGCGGCTGGGCAGATGGCAAGCTCATTCCCGCGCAGACTTTTTCTAGTACTAACGCTAGGAGTCCTCGTAGCCTTAGGGTTTGTTCCAGTCGTTTTGGCGTTGCTTTTCTTTTAGGAGTCTGCGTTGGGTATGTTCTTGCCCCCGTAGCCCAAGACTGCAGCTTGTTCGCCCCGTTGAATTATCTGCGGGCCGTGAAACTAATCGCATGGGATTTTCGACAGGTCTCTCATTTGCTCGAATCTTGGTCCGGGCTTCCAATTCTGACTAGTTCTTCGGGGCTTATCTATTTGGGTTCTGTTGGTTTGTGCGGGGTGTCTTGTTCGTTTTTCGGACTTCAAGCAGAGAGTGACCTGCTGAGTTTGTTCCAAACTCTGCTCGCACGTAGTAGACGCACAGCCCATCCGGTTACTGATGCACTACGGGGCTAATTGTTTATCTACTTCTTT